CGAGTTTTCCGAGGCTCTTGATGGCTGAGAGTGGCTGTTTCTTTGTCGCCTTTCTTTACACTGCAATTGCGATCGTGTAATCATGCTGTTCCACAAGCAACATATCAGATGTAACCCTGACCGGGATGTTTAGTTCACTTTCCAAGGTAGAGTATATTCGAACATCATATTATAAATATATATTGTGTTCTCCACTGCCGACTAAACACACCTCTTCATTTATATATCAGGTTTAAGGTTTTGCGGAACTAATGTTAGTTAAATAATATAACTATAAAGTTAAAAAAAAATACTCCGTACGAACTATTGAACGTATGAATGTAAACAACCCGATCACTGAATTTTGGACATTGAATTTAAGGCAGGCTCATCCATGGTGCGGAACGCGGAACCTTGGTACCTATGTAGGTAGTAACAGGGGTTATCCATGCATACATAACTTTATGATATTGACAAGCAGTCTAAATTAAAAAAAAAAAAAAAAACCGCAGATACATATATCATACTCTGTACATATGTATAATGCAAGCTGATAAATAGAAGCAGCGGGAAAGCAGTGGACTGAGAACAGGGATTGTCCATTATGTCTACAGAAAATCTAAAATTTTATGGATATTCATAAGCGGTTCAAAAAACAGAGCATAATGCTGGAAATCTAGATCCTCCTAAATCTTAGAATCGATAGGCCATGCTAGCAGCTACAGATCTAGTTAGCGGGAGAAAGTACCCCTGGAATGAGTACCGGATACCGGACCCTGTATAGTAATTTGCTAGATTGTAACGGTCAACGATACATACAGCGTAAGTTTTCACATCGTCGATTCAATACGAAAGCCCACTTAGACTGGCGCATGAAAGAGAAGAACCCATGAACGGTCGCCGATGGGGCGATATGAAGGCAATCAACAAAGAAAGATAGAAGCTACGCAACATCTCCACCCGTCATACTCCACAGTTCATTTCGCCGAAAGGGGTAATCTACGGAGAACAAGTAAGGAAATCATCGCCCTGCGAATCCTTCAAACCTAAGCTATCGGGACGGCCTCCGCGAGCTGTCTAGAAAGCCACTAGAAGGCGATGCCGGACACACACGGCTGGCGGATTAGCTAGCACGTCTCCGCGCAACGGTCCAGACGGTACTTCTTTCCAGGATTAGGGGCTAGTCTGCGCCACTACTTTCCCAATTTCACATCCCCGACGCCACCAACATATTGTACATGATAGCTTATGTTACCTGTCAAGCTGTCGACGGTATCGAATGAGGGGCACAGTGAACGCACTGGCTGCATACTCCAGGTTTGGGGATGGGAGCCGTATTCTAGATGCGAATTGGCTGAGGTTAGACCGCCACAAGTTGTATTTCTTTGTTACTCATACCCGGGATCTGAGATGTTAGATTTGGACGGACAATAATCGGGCCCAGAGAATCCAGATTCGATCAGGCAAAGCTCCATTTGCCTGAATTTGGACGGCAACTTTTTTATGTTTGCTTTTTTAGGAGTAACTAAGAAACCTTCGTGTGCTTGCGGGTGGATTTCAAGTTCCAGGGACAAAGACTCGGGTTGCCTAGTGGAGGCTCAGGGGCTGGCTTGGAGATTTACAATGCATCTTCTCGTGGAGCTTGATGCACCATGTGGTCATAAATCCACATTTTGAAGTATAAGTGAGACCATTCATTAACGGTATTAATTAATTCAAAACCTTGAGCTGGGTATGTACTCCATACTCCGTACGGAGTACGGATGGAGCCATCTTGTTCTGCTTTAAAATCACTAGTTCAACGTCCCCTAGAATTGGGATAGAGGGGCGGGCTATGCTGCAGTCCCAGAGTTTCCGTAGAGTTCGAGTCCAGAACCTACGTGTATATTCCGTACTCCGTATCGGGAAAGTGATCTGAAGGTCACCCTAGTGTCGGGAAATGCAACTCAGAGAATTGTTGAGATCCCCCGCTGTTGGTTTCTTTGTTTGACGCTGCACGTGCTTGAACTGCAATGCGGGACTAACAGCAATCCCCTGTCAACGCCCCTGAGATGAACCTGACCGTTGTGCAGTGAGCAGGGGTTTGAGACTGTGTGGGGAGGCTAGAAAACTAGCCGGGCCTATCGGAAGGACGGCCATGGCAAAATGATCCACGAAGAGCCCCGGCGAGTCGTGGACTAGAACACAAGCGGCCCACAACAGGGCTAGTTTCATAGCTTCTACGGTGTAGGGGCGGAACAATGCGCCGGACAGTGGGTATTACGGAGTATATATTGTAGTATTGATAGCCCCCACCACGGTGATGAATCTGTCACTTTCATAGGGGAACAGACTGTTGACTATTGATAGATTCGTGCGTGCGCTCGGTTATTGAGGGGGGTCAATAGCTTTTGCTGGTCCTTATACTCCGTACTCCCAGGGCCCGTATTGTTAGGTGCTGACCATGGATCGGAATCCCCACACCTGCGCCACTTTCCTTGGGACGGGATGAAAGGGGGAATATGATAGGTGTTAGATTAACTGTATCATCATCAGTATAGTGCGGGACGGCACGTTAGAGGGGATCACCGTCGCGTCCGCGCTGGCGACGTGATAGAGGCGTCTGGTCGCGTTAGGGATAATTTAATACGAAGGACAGAGTACTCCGTATAGTTGTATAGTTGACTATAATTGATAGCCTACATCAAGAATAGATTATCGATCCTGCAATCTCAATAATAGATTGCAGGAGACTATTGCCTGGAGGTGCCTCGGGATAAAAAAAGAAACATGTGACTAGGAATAAGGGGTACACCCGTGTCACGTGGTTCGACATGACAACCAGTTTCCAATATTATTCCTATTCCTTTGTTAACTACTCCGTATTGGACTTCAGTTAATCTATTAAGCATATTGGAATTGGAGAGTCTCGGTTTTGAAGACCCACGAAATGAAATAACCTCCACAATGCTGGCTTCAAGCGCGATCGCATCAGCTCCACTGTCTCCGAGATACCCAGAATTCTCGGTACTACGGAGTACATAGCACAAGAATTGCAATTTATGAACAGTTATGGATCCCGCTACCGCGTCATTCCGTGAGATAAGGGCTTGAGGTTAAGCCGAGCCAATTACCTGATGGTTTAAACACCCATTTCTTTTCTTTTCTCCGAACTCAGATACTACGAGTGTCAACGTGATTCGTTGTTGGTTATTGGTTGTTCTAGCAACGATCCCGCTTAGCTGAAAATGGGAATCGTGTGTGAAGTCATGAACTTGCTCTAGTGGATCACTGCATCGGCGATCAAGAGGCCTAGTTCAAACCCCGACATCTACACGAGCAGAAGAGCTCACGGCGGAGCTTTGGCTTTTCGTTATTTATGACGACCAAGAAATACGCCTATTTCACTCCACTATCACTGCTGATCTTTGCTTGGCTCGATTACGTGACAGAACAGAGGCGGAAAACAAGGTCGGTTTCTGTGTGAAATCGGGGACAAAGAATATGCGATCGCGCTCTCAATTTCTTGGACTCCTATGACAACAGATTCTGGGCCAATAAACTGGGTGGCCTTGCCTGCAACCCAGTGTTCAAAGCTTCTCCCCACCTGGGAGGCTAGATTTCCACAAAAGGAGATTTGCCGAGCGATCAGCAATCCTTCCTGGGCAACCTAGTAATAGCCGTGCTTGTGTGCTTGAGATGTGATAAGAAACCCCGGCTTATGCCAACCAAATCTTCGGCGAAGAAAGAAGACATGGAAAGGGGGGGCTGTCGGGGGAGGCAAAATTTTCATTTTCAAAATCTTTTTTTTAAAAAAAAAAATAAAACAAAATAAAATCCGAGTGTTCATCACCCGAGTTTCTGCAGAAAAACGACCTCGTGCGCAGATCCCAAGTTCTTCACCGCGCCGAATCCGATTGTGTCAGACGGGGGCGAGTTTCCACCCACGTGCAGCATCACGTCGAAAAATGTGCGCTGTGGATTCCTGCTTCCGATTCCGCGGTCCCAGCCAGAAGATTTTGGGGTAAGCTACTTCTCTGTATTTACAGAACGAGTTCAACTATGGCAAGAGGTTCCATGTTTCCATGTTATCGACGCCAGCTCGCAGGATTTAGGCAATGATCAATCATAAAGGGTCTAGAAAAGCAAATCCCGCCTTTCAAGGTTGGGCCATGACGCTGGGTCGACAACCCTCATTTCCACCCCAGGATTCAGCTTGCATCCTTTCACCTGCGGGGATATTGACTGACGCAAGGCAATATTGTGGGCTTTTGCTTCCCCTTTCTATTTTGGAGTGGCTTTCGAATACCCGATCGGGAAGGTGAGATATGTGTCACAATTCTAACCCCCGGATAAATTCTCCAGCACATAAGTGGACGCGTCCCCACGCGCCAGCTCGTTGGCCCGAGTGTCGATGCAATTTCATCACAATGTGGATACAGGGGTAGGGTTCAGGAAGTACTCCGTACGGGGAACATATCCTAATATTCGCGGCTAACTCGGAGAATTGGAATATGGTGTTCATTGTACGGAGTATACATTTGTAGTATACATCGATCTGACCACCTTGGGTATATCTACTCCGTATGGCTTTGATTGTTCCTTTCAGGCCCGTGGGTCCCTTAATTATAGATACTAATAATCATGCTCGTAACTGCTACAACAATTTAATCCTGTAGGGGTTATTGTGGATGATTTTCAAGAATGTACAATTTATATTCTTCTATGTTCTATGTTCTATGCTCTATGTTCTAAAGTCTATATGCTAGCTAATAACATGTATGCAGGAAATGAAAAAACTGCTCGATGACGAGACGAAATGGAGATATGCACGGTGTAGGACTCCATGAATGAAGGAATAAGAAGTGAATGTATAACAAGATCGGCAATGAAATGGTGATGTGAAGGAAGGAAGAAATGAAGAAATGAAAAAGAAATGAAGAGGAAAAGGTGGAAGAAAGATCGGAAAAGAAAATAACCCAATCAATGAGGATTCCGAGGAAATGAAGGGCTTGAAGGAAAAGGAAGAACAAACGATCAACCTATTCGGCCTTCTTCGAAGCCTTGGTTCTCAGCTTCATGAGGCCGAATACCAAAGCATATCCACTGATGGCGAAGATGACCGCGATACCGATATCTCTCCATCCAGTGGTGTAGTTCATGATATGGAGACTCTTCAGGAACTCACTTCCGTCTTTATATTGACAGACCTTGCAGCTTGAGGTAGCATCGGGGTTGAGCAAGTTAACACCGGAGCCAGTGCCGGACATATAATCCGAGAGGTACTCAGCGCAGGTGGTGCCGTTGGTCGGTTCGAATCGGGCGAACTCATTGTCCATGCAGGTGACCTTGGCACCCCAGATGCCAAAGGTCAACATGCCTGAGACAACATAGTTGAAGGGGTTGAGGTAGTACATCCAGAACCGCCAGAATACGTTGAGTTGGAAGTATGGGACGAGGACACCACAGAATATGACAAGAATACTGATGATCAGGGGGTTCACAAGCGCAGCAAATGTCGGGTTCGGCGAATAGGCGGCGACAAATTGACCAATGCCAGTGTAAATGAGCTCGTAGATCAACATCATGAAGAAAGTGGCGCCGGATCGGCTCGATTCATGAGGCAGTCTCCAAACGGGCCAGTACCAGCAGGCAAAGTAGAGAACAGCACAGATGCAGAGATATGGGAACTCGGAAACAATCAGTCCGGTGACGAAGGCAACCCACGAGTACATCTTCGACTTTTTCTCGCGAGTATCGTAGATATCGCGGCGCTGGATGAAGAGAGGTTGAAGCTGGTTGATGACACCAGGAGCGACGAAGACAAAGTTCCAGATCGAGAACATCTTCAGATTCAAAGCAGCCACACTTTGATTAGGACGCCAGAAGGAGAACCCATTGAGTGCGGCGGAGATAATGTGAAGGGAGAACTTGTTGTTGATATAGTTGGTGTTCCTGAAAAGCGCGACATTCATCCGCCAGGTGACGATTTTGGTCTGCTCCCAAAGAGGCATAGAGAACTCAAATCCATCATCGACCGTACCGGGGGTTTGGCAGCAGCGTCCGCAATCATTCCATCCAGTTCAGCGATCATGCGAGTCTGCTCGGGGGAGTCGAGCCAGACCTGGTGCCAATCCTTGTCCTTGACAGCCTCGATACCGCCAGTAACAACATCAATCATGAACTCGGCTGCATTAGCCTCGGTAGGGCAATGGGCCCCGTATTTGCCAAAGTATTCCTTAACGCTAGCTGCATTCTCGCCGATGTCTCCAAAGTAAACCGTCTTTCCTCCCTTTGCAAGGAGAAGAAGGGTGTCGAATTGAGCGAAAAGCTGCGCCGAAGGTTGATGAATCGTAACCTAGAGGGGATTAGTTAGCAATCTATTCTTGTAGTTGTTAAATTCAAGAGACTGAAGACTTACCAAAACAGCTTGACCAACATCAGCCAATTTGCGAAGGAAGCGGACGGTGTTGTAGGCCGATTGTCCATCCAAACCAGAGGTGGGTTCGTCCAAGAAGATCAGAATGCTAGGTTTAGATACCAGTTCCACACCAATTGTGACACGCTTTCTTTGCTCAACGCTGAGTCCATTCCCAACACCACCGATAAGAGTATCTGCCAAGTCATGCAGCTCGAGAAGATCAATGATAGTGTCAACGTACTTGAGCTTCTCTGCCCTCGGGGTGTTACGAGACTGGCGAAGGAGAGCAGAGAATTCCAATGCTTCTCTCACAGTTGCGAATGGCTCGTGAACATCCAGTTGTTCGCAGTATCCCGCCATTCTTTGGAAAGACACTGGGAGCTCACGACCGTCAACCATGATAGAGCCGTTGATAGTACCGTCTGTCTTACGCTGGGCAAGAACATCAAGCAGAGTTGTCTTGCCTGCACCAGAGGATCCCATAAGGGCGCCTAGCATGCCGGGCTTGACCCATCCATGAATGTTATCCAATAACACTCGATCGCCTGTGGGAGTTTGGACAGTATATGTGAGGTTTTTCCAGGTAAAGATCGACGTGTTTCGGGTGAGATTTTCATCGTCCACTTGAACGGGCTCGTCGGTAGTCTCGCGTGCAGTAGTCTTTTCGTTACGTTGTGCTTCTTCGTCAGAGCTGGCGGCCTGGTGGTTCTTGAGCTTCTCGCGAGGAATGAGAAGAGAAGCACCAGAGCCACCACCTGCTTTCCAGTATGATGTGAAAATAATCGTCAGGATGGCAAAGAATCCCCACCAGCCCCAGACGACACCAAAGTTCCGCCACATTTGAGAGTGCTTGTAGTGAAGAGATTCAAGATACTGATCGCCAGTCACGAAGGTTGCGCCTGGCAAGGCACCACCAACACCCGCACAAGCTTGGTTCTCGGCTCCGACGTTCTCGTAGCCAGGGCCACTTGGGATCAGATTTTTACCAACACAAGGAATATGGCGGTCATGGAACTCGTTCGCCATTGCAGCCTGGAAGGCATAGGCAAATGGGTTCGTGTAGTACAGCTCAAGGAACCAGTTCTTCATCTCAGGCTTGGGAATCATGTAACCAGCGTACATGACAATGCCTTTGACTGCAGTTCCTGAGATTTTAGATGCGGCTTCAAAGGTACTGAAAGCGGATCCGATAAATCTAAAGAGAGCAGTGATGCACTGAAGATGTAAGAGTTAGTCCAAAGTCGAGAAACCAGCAAACCACGAGTACTTACCAGAATTGTCGAGAACAAGATAATCCAGAAGGTGAAGAAAGCAGCCGCAGTATGCTTCAGGTTAGACATCCAATAGATAACTATCGCGAAGATAGTACACTGGAACAACAGAACCGGAATATCCGCCATGATCTGAGCCAGAGAAAACGCGGCCGGGTGGTACATAGCAAAACCCTTGTGTTTGACCAAAACCGGACGACCCTTGAAAGATTCGGTGACCTCAGACATGGCAACAATGCAGTTGTACAACAGCGCGAAGAAGACAGCGCCACCTTTGGTGAAGATACCTTCGGAGGTGTCTGGTGAGTCGTAGAAGCAAGAACCAGCGATCAACGCCATCACACATGACAGAACCTGTTTGATGATGAATGTTGACTTCTCACCCCACAGAATCTGATACTGTCGCTTAGTGCATGCGATGAGCTGAGTCCAAAAGCTAGTAGTCAGACTACTACCCTTAGGCAGGTGTTTGGACTTTTCCCACGCAACAGACTCTTTGAATGCCTCTGTGCGCTCGCGGCTGAGTTGGGAGTCGGGATAGTCATATGTTGAGACCATACTATGATAAGTACTAGACTTCTGATATTCTGCCAAAATGGCATCGGCGTTTCTGGGGAATGTGTTTTCGTATCCGGGTCTAATTTTTCGCTCTGTCGGGACTGTCAAGCCGGTGAGGAAGTCACCTATCGTATTGTGTTAGTTGATATCAGAGTTATTTACCAGGTGTAGGAAATACTTACCGACGTTTGCTCCATCGGTATACACGAAGCCTAGATCTTCCATGAAAGGCTTAGCTGCAGCTGCAGGGCCATAGTAGATCTGCTTTCCCTCGTCAAGGACAAGGACCTTGTCGAAGAGATTGTAAATTCCATTTCCTGCTTGATACAGGGTCACAATGGTGGAAAGGCCGAGGATATCAGTCATAGCACGAAGGGCCTTGGCCCACTCCAATGCGGTACTGGCATCCAAACCACGGGTACTGTTATCCCATGAGTAAATGGAGCCCCTAGTTGCGAGACACTCGATAATAGAGACTCGCTTCCGCTCACCACCGGATACACCACGAACGAACTCATTTCCAACCTTGGTATCGGCCGTATGACTGATTCCCATAGACTTTAGAAGGAACTCCTTAGTCTCGGCTGTGTATTCATCGATACCTTGAGCACCATCTGGTAGATGGAAAGGAACCTTGAGCCTGGCTGCGAAGTCCATTGTCTGACCGACCGTCAAGCGGGGGTAGAACAACTCCTCTTCTGTGTTCATCACAATCTGGCCATTGTAGTCCTCGGCTTCCTTGGAGGTCATACTTCCGAAACGCACGTCACCGTTGATGGTGTGATAACCTTCGCGGCGATTTGATAGCAGCTTGAGTAGCGTGGTGCACCCTGAACCAGGGCGGCCCAACACAAGCAACATTTCTCCGGGTTTGACACATCCATGGCTGTCTGACAAGATCGATTTGAGGGGCGGCTTTCGGCGGAAATCTTTAATCAATTGAGGAACGTTGAATTGCGAGATCATGTTTTCGTTGACGGCGGCTTCGGCAGCAAGGACATCAACGGTTAGGTTTTGCCATGTAACACCTAGCTCGCGCTTCTTGAATCCGGCTGCTTCATCACGTTCTGCGTTCCGGATTACTTCTGGTGTCATGCTCCACTCCGCAGCCTTCTTGGGAGGTAGGGAAGTCTCGTCATTGGCGGCATTCAGCGTCTCGGCACTCTTTGATTCGTGGATGTTGGCTTGCGGTACATGCAGGGTCTCTACACTAGTGAAATCGTGGGTGTTGAGCTTGTGAACAGGCGAGTCGTCCAGGTTTGGGTTATTATTATCGTCCTCAATGCGGTAGTCGCTGTGCAACGAGGCATCATCGGGGTCGGGATGCTGCTCCATGATAGGAGACTTTTGAAGGAGTGGAGATGGGTCAAAGAAATGAAAAAACAATTACAGAATCAAAAGAAGTTATTTAAATTGGGAAGAGTAGCATATTTATTCTTGAAGTCCTGCAAAGGGGCGAGTCATTTATATGTGCCGACTCCATATCCGAAAGAATAGGAGATCGGAAATATGACATTGAATAGCCTTATTATTGGCTGAAACAAATTTAGTTTTGTTCATTATTACTGCTAATGCAGAGGAAGTTGGTTTACTCCTATGAATAGATCCAGAGGGACCTGGCAAACCCGGCACAGAGGCCGAGTTCATGGTAGAACCCACTTTGGGTAAATCTTGGGTCGAGTCAACTATTTGCAAGTTATCCAATGGTTGTCCAACAGATAAGCATTAGAACCCGGAGAGATGCCCGATTCATCCGACTTTTGTTGTTTCTATTGTGTTCGATGCATGAGGCCTTTAGGGCTTCACTGTTCGACGTTATGTGATTACTGAACAAACAAATTAGGATGCGTGGTTTATCTTGGTGGATATTTTATTAGAGAATAATTGTTCCCACTTCTTCTTCCCAAATGGATTAATTACTATCAACTGAGAATTTCCGCTGATACTGTGTAGGAGGGGCTGCAAACTTGTACGCAATGTTCGTGATAGGTGGCGATGAACAAGCATTTTAGCGGATGTATGTTTATGTACTTCCGGATAAAGATTAAAGGTCTAGATCAAGGCGCCTTGTCAGTACCGAAGTTCCCCTGAATTAAACTGTCAAAGTCATTTATGCCCTATATGGACCAGCAAATCAGCAATGCCGAGGCACGGACACCCTGAATATTGGACGGGTGAGATATCCCGATAATCGGGTTCCCTGACGATCCCGATCTACCCGGGTCTTATCTAATCCCATTCTGGCCCAGTCTTTGGGTCTTCCCAATAAGGAAATATGTGCCATAGTTCCTAATTAGGATATTTGCGGGTCGTGTCAACATCTTGCGTCTTGCATAAAAAGGTCCAACGGTTTGATCTTTCGTTCAATAATCAACACCTATCCCCTCTATTCAGCATCCAACCCCACCTTTAGACTCGGATTGTACTCCGAGGGTATCAATCACATCATACATTGGTAGTCTCGGTCCAACGGCGAGCTCTTAGCAATCAGTTTGCTTGGTGAGTAGCGGGGTCGCGCAGCGGGGTTACCTAGTTTGACCCTATGCCGTGAGCCGATGTGCTTCACAGGCAACAGGATAGATCTGGTTCAAGTGAAAGGATAATCGAGAGCCAGACTCAGATGTAGTCACTTTGGACCCAAATGTACAAAGATAAAGATTCGCAATTCGATGGCTATGAATGGTGATAACCTATATATTCAGCTCTCGTTGTCAGATGGAATTGATTCAAGGGCTGGACTGCATCCCTTGATTCCAAGGTTGAACAGCACCTCACCACCACAGTATCTTTGAAAGGGGTGTATCTAATTTCCATAGAGATGAGATATTTGCCTTCTCCTACGTGGCCCTGATGATTCTAACACAATATCACCAATACTCATCGTGTAATTTGAAAACATCCAAGGTTGTCGATGTCGAATAGAGAATATACATACCTCAACGCCATTCATAAGTTCCAGGCGCGTTGCGTACCTAAAATTCCAAGCAAAACTTACCAACGAGCAACTTCAAGCCATCGGAATGAGCTGGCTCTATGCTTTTAAAGCTCCTTTACATGAGGGTTTAGCCTCAGACCAAGGACGGCAGATAAGAAGGCGCTGTCTGGCACATCGTTGAAAGGCTGCACACACTCTCTCCTCTTCTATGCTAATCCAAGAGTATCAAACAATCTGCTAGCCATTATTATATCTAGCCAGACATAACAGTAAGTGACTCCTTCAGATATGCATACAGATTGCTGGTGTATTACTTAGAACCGATCACTGATGGGGTCACCACAGATTATATATATATATATTCTTACCCGGAGTCAACAACACGGATCATACTCCAATTCAACAAAACAGCTCAACATGAAACTCACTACATTTATTACTGCCCTCTCCTTCTCGACTCTCGTAGCAGCAACTCCTGTCCCGCTCAGCAACCGAGGAAACCTCCTCCCGACTCCAATGCAAGCTGTGGAGAAACTTTTCCCTGGCTCAGGGATTCCACGGCTGGCGGGGAAAATCGAGAAGGCATTCGATATTTGTAAGTATATGATTTACATGGTGCTAATATGTCGGCTAATGAAATTTCCGATTTTCGCTAGAATTGGATGATATACCTATGATTGAATATGCTATGGGTTAGTGGGGTTGACGCTGTATTCTTTTCATTTCATGTGTGCTGTGTAGCAAGTTTGCCATGACACCCTTTACACCAGTTTTATACGATATTCCTTAATAATATTGTAGGGATGTCCAATGCTTAATTGTCTCCAAATGAATCACCTTTCAAAACATAGATCAAGTAACATGCTATGCCAAAATTGGACACTGTGGGTCCATAAATGCGAAAGATACAGAAACCAACACATCAACTAAAACATACCCTCCATATCCAAATCCAGGAACTCGGGGTTTCCAACCGCCATATCCGCCGCATTAAGCACATCATCAATAGCATCCATCCCAGCCCCAGGATCAAGTCCCATATCCTGACCAACACCAATACTACCATCCATCCCAGCAGCCGCCGCATCCGCCGCCGCCTTATCCAACATCTGATTGATATTATCCGGATCATCCTCATTGACCGTACTACGCTCAACATCAGTAGCAGAAGGCTCAAGATCCATCCGATCCTCCTGCCCCTCAACGCCAAGATGCATATTCTGAATAATATTCGAGACATCAATATTCGAGACCTGCGACGGTGGTGCCATGAGCATATTAACACGACGCGCAAGCCGCACCACGACCTCGGCGCGTAGCGGGTCACTCTCAGATATCTTAGGGACATTCTCATGCTGCAGTGCCAAGGCGTCGCGCAGTGTCAGAATCGCACACCGCGGCAGAGCCTCCTTGCTCGTGTCGACTGGGTGGTAGTTATTTTGGTCGACGGCGAAGGACTCCGTCATCGGAGCGCATACCATCGTCGTCGCAATGTCCAGTGCTATATGTCCACTGCCTGCTTCGGATTGCTGTTTGACTTCGTCGATTATCGCGCCTAGAACGCGTGTTGCGCCCAACATGCGGATACCTGCTAGTACCTGTCGGTGCGTGTAGGCGTGTGGGGCCATGCTGATTCCTGGGTTGGCGCTCCAGAGGACGAGGGCTTGTAGGGTTGTGCGGATGCTGGCTATTAACCCGCCTGCGGAGTGGGAGGTCCAAGTGTCGAGTTCGGAGCGGCGGCAGCTGCCGACGCGGCGGAAGGAGATGTATGGCTCTAGGGCATCGAGGATTGGCTTGATGTCTGTTCGCGACTGGTTTCTTGTTCGGACGTTTTTTAGTTGCTCTTCTAGTGGGCAGCCGGTTATGTTCAGGACTGTTTGGTGGATTGCTTGAGCCTCGCCGGAGATTGAGCTGGGCTTGACTAAGGAGTGGAGGGTTTTGATAGGGATTGTGGGGTCAGTCTCTGATTCCCAAATGTGGTTACCCAGCCATGTCAATGCGACGACTAGGGACGGGAGGAGGAAGGGCTCGAGCAGATCTATATTGTGGTTAGCTAGATATCCAGGGCGAAGCGACCGCGTGACATTGTTCTTACATTCAAATCCACCTTTCAAGGTATCGAAATCCAGCTTTCCGGACTCGCATGCACCGAGGCTCTGATCGAACAGTGTTGTTACAAGCATGTAGAATTCGTGTGGGCTGCAAGAAGACATAGTCTCTTCACTGATGCCCTCAGCAATGAACAAAGCTCCTATCCAAGCGCCGAGATCATTGTTTTGCTTCTCGCTCAAGTCACTCAGCTTCTGGCTGCAAGCGCCCCGGTCCAACAGTTTCAACAAGAACGAATCGTTGTTCGAGATACCCATATCAGAAGGACTCAGGTCATAGCGATATTTGAACGCGAGAACCAGCAACAAGATACTACCAAATTCGTCATAGACAGGCTGGTTTTCGCCCTGGTCCTCGTCCCACTTCCAGGAATCAAGGATAGCACAAAGAGGTTGTAGTACCTGCTTTGTAGTTCGGAACAGCAACATGACATCCAAGGTTTGCGGGCGGCGTGAGAGCGAGTTGCAAATGTTCTTGAGCGTCATTGTCTCTCTCTGATGACACAAATTGTGCATGACCTTGAGGAAGTTAGCATCATAATACTTCCAGGAATCTCAGATCGGGTAGCTTGGAACATACATCGACCACGGCGCCAACTATCGCTCCTGCATTGCCCTCCATCGACTCGATCTCACCAATAAGTTGCTCAGTACGTTCATGATTGTTATTGATTTGCGAAACGAGATCGTCCTTAACATAAGGGCCCCCACCAGGCAGTGTCTGCATGGGATTTTCTCCGAGAAGCTGTTCAATGCTGGACTCTTGTATGAGCTTGTGCGACGCACAAGCAAAGAGGAACTCCTGGCGAGCATCTGATAAAACACTGCTGCCCTGCATCGAGAACATCTGAGAGAAGGAGGGGAATGCGTTTGGATCTAGCCGGCTTAAGGCATGGCTGATGCACATTTCCATGGAGATCGGCACCATGGATGCTGCCGAGATGGCTGCAAAAAAGGCGGGAAGCTTGTTAACGAGGAAAGATCGGAACAGGAGCATCGTACGACCAGATTCGTTGCGATATACGCCGTTGGAAAGAACGTCGAAGGCGGCTGTAATGATTTCCTCGATGAGCACGTCATTATGGCCCTGGTAAGAGGTTAGTTAAATGGTCTGAACCTCACTTGAATAGTGAAAAGAAAATGATCCAAATCACTCTGGTTAGTGAGAGAGAAATGAATCGTGTCAATTGGACTTACCTGATACCGATTGGTGAGGTAGTTGATCAGAATAGTATCATCGACCAAAGGACGACCCACGACCTGTTGCTAGTCAGCCATGAACCCAACATTTCCGCGCAAAGGGAAGCGTACCATCGAATTAATATATACATAGAGTCCAGCTCTAGTGTTAACAACTGGGCCATCCATGACAGAAGACTCAAACTGGAGGGCATTGACATTCACACCGTCGATAGCAGGCCCCTGCAAAGCCTTAGAAGGCTGACCGGGGTAAAGATTGAACACTTTCTGCAACTCTTCGAGGCGATGCCGAAGCGGCAGAGAGACATCGATACAGAGAGGCAGGTAGCTTGACAAAGCTTGTCCCAATTTTGCTTTCAATGCTAGGGAGAAATCGTTAATAGATGTTCAACAGATATGGTAATATCATCCCCAAACGCGGAGACCATGTAGATTTACCTTGATTGAAATCACTGGACAGCACTTCCAATCCTTTGCTAGTCCCAGACAAAGCCGCAAGTAGAATTCCAAGCGACTCGAACAATGAGACCGCGTCAGGCGATCCCATCAAGCCACCTGTTTGCTGCGAGGCGTCCACGCTGTGATTGTGCCACGCCACGACAGCCAGAATCCAGTCTACAGTGGCAGAGTAAATGTCTGCAGCCTCAATGACGGTCTTGGGGATTGATCCGGTAGAAATGAACACCATGACATCCTGGATGACTTTGATATCCGTCATAAGAGTGGATGGTTTCTGCTTTTTGGACTTGGACGGCGAGCCCTGCCCTTCGCCCTCAACCTCGCCAGATCCCGACGCATCCAAAATAGAAGAGTGCTTTAACAGACTCGCCAGCGCAGAGGAAGACTTGACCCTCCCAACCTTGCACAATCCATCGACGTACAGCGGCAGAAGAGGATCCCAGGTAACACTGGAGGAAGCGCGAGCTTCAAGGAGCAGATCGAGGAGCTCATTTTCTTTCACGGGTGAGCGAGCAAACATCAACCTCGACAAGTCCGTGAACTCGTCGATATCTATACGATTGGCCAAACATTGGTGGAGGAAGGTCCTCCATTGTTCGGGAATTGCCCTGTCCGGCAGCATTGTCATCTCCACAACATAACACTGCACCCCGGAAGCTGTAAAAATCAGATTGCAAGTCACAGACTCACACTAAGCATTTTTCTTTCGAGGAATAGATTGCTGGTCTTGAGGCTGTGAGGGATAGCTCTTTCTCAGGTCGGCGCTCCGGGGCTCGTGAAAGCAATTACGTAATCATCACGTGAGGCAGGGGTATCCACCCAGCACGTGACTTTAATATTTTGGTGCCTTTGGCCTCCTTCCAATAGCCAGACGTTCTACTAAATAATTAAAGTCATGACGGACGCAACAGCTTAGTGGATCGATGAGGTTAATCTAGACCTGTCTAGATCTTCCTGAAATTAAAGCATTGACTTATTTCGTGTAACCATTTGAGGCTCACTCTGGAGAAGCCAGCTACTATGATAAAAATCAACAGCTTACAAGACTACCAAATCACACAAATATTTTTAAATCATTCATTGAATCTCATTATTGTCATGACAATCCCAAGTGCAGAACCAAAACAAACAGCGGTGCTCAAGTGGGGATATCAATCAAATGCAACATTGGAAAAACCAGCGCCTCTATCCATAATCCGCTTGACAAAAAGGGTAAAAAGCTATTTTAAAAAAGAAAATGCATCGAAGCTGCCTCTCCTTAAGAGAGGACAGAAATCATCACAAAACATCACCAAAAATTGGAGATGCGACTGATTTACCACCAGTCACCGTGCTCCTTCATGGCCTCAGCGACCTTGGTGAAACCAGCAATGTTGGAGCCAGCAACGAGAGAAGGAAGGACACCCTCAGCAGGGGTGACGTACTCCTTAGCAGTAGCAAGGCCGTTGTTGAAGCAGTCCTCCATAATCTTCTTAAGGCGGGAGTCAACCTCCTCACGGGACCAGTTGACACGGGCAGAGTTCTGGGCCATCTCAAGACCAGACACAGCAACACCACCAGCGTTGGCGGCCTTACCGGGAGCGTACCAGATGGCAGCGGCACCGGGGTTGGCATCACGGTGGGCCTCGAAGACATCGATAGCCTCCTGGGTGGAACCCATGTTGGAGCCCTCAGCGATGAACTTGCAGCCAGCGGCAATGAGAGCCTTGGCCTCGTCGCCGGAGACCTCGTTCTGGGTGGCGGAGGGGAGAGCGACATCGATGCGGCCGGTGATGTTGGTCCAGGGGCGGGCACCGGGGATGTACTTGAACTTGGAGCTGAAGGCAGCCTGGGTGGCGATCTCAGCGATCTGCTTGCGCTGGACCTTGATCTCGGCAATGGTGTTGATCTCCTCGACGGTGAAGGAGCCCTCCTCGCCGTTGATGACGAGAGCACCCTGGGAGTCGGAGAGGGAGACGACGGAACCGCCGAGCTCGATGACCTTAAGAGCGGCGTACTGGGCGACGTTTCCGGAGCCGGAGATAGCGACGCGCTTGCCGGCGAAGGAGTCC